CTCGCCCTCCGCCCTGCGGCGTTGGCCTTGTCCAGCTCCCGGTCACTGTATCCCTGGCAGGCAAGTTGTTTTCCCTGTTCTCTGTGCCCAAGAGGAGAAGTTGGCAGTAAAGGCCCGACCATGATACCCAATACTCTAATGGAATAAGAAAAGCCTCGAACAACCGCCACCTGGGCTCTCGCTTGAGATCTCTGCCCTCTGTTCCTCTGTCTGACCTGGTTGGTAAAGTAAATCTAGACTATCCCAGCGATGAAAGCAGAGACGCCCATGCTCTCCATGGGTGTATGTTTTGTCCTTTGCAGTGGCATGCAAATGCAGTGGCTGAAAGGACATCTGAAACAAGCAGCCACACTTAGGGACACATCTGAAACCTCAACTCTGTATCGTCTGGTTTCCAAGCCCAGGCAGGTCCTCGTTGCATACACTGCAATTGACCTCGTCATGAGCTATAAGCAGGTACTACGTGAGATACGTCAAGAGGATGTTATTTTCTTCAAGACTGTTAGATAAGGAAATGCTTTTATTTCTCACCTATCCCTAGAAATCAACTTATAGAAAACTTCAAGTCATCAGTCACCCCAAATTCTCTACAGGCAGCAGGGGTTTAAAGTGGACTTTCCTCAGGGAACCTTCGGGACGCTGTTTCCATTATACCTCCTTCTCACGTGGTAACACTCACCACGCGTCCTGGGCGGTCCGCATTTTAGGTCTGCCTTCCCCACCAGGCCACACACACCGTGAGGACACAGAATCATCTGCCATGTTTAGCCACCATATCTTTAGTGCACTGCATGGCGTTTAGTCCAGGAAAAACATTTAAAATCTGCTGAACGAACTATCCAAAGAAATTAAGAAAAACAGGATAACTTTCTTTCTGCTGTTCTTTACTTGCCCTCACTTTTCCCAGACTATTTTCAGCTTAACACCACGGTGACACCAACAGGGACACGGCTCAGTCCTTTCCCTCTAAGGGCCGCAGAGATCCGGGCAAAAGTGAACACAGAGGAATCAGGAGGTATGCCAAGTCCAGCCCGGGCTAGGCTGAGTCACATACCAGAGACGGAAACCCAGGGGAGCGAATTTTGGCACAAAGTGGCTTATCCAGGAAGACAGGGAGCCCCTCGCGAACTCAGGGGAAGAGGCAAACCCAGGTTGCTGGGGGTTAGGAGGATGAAGAGGGAGGCCTTCGGCATCGCTCGGTCAGGATTCTCTCCCCCTAGAGCCAAGCAGTCCTTCCTCCCTTGTTCCCACTTTCCTTTAAGCAGATCAGCTCTCCCTGTTTCTTTAAGCACACGAATGCCTCACAGCTCTAGGGTTTACATGTTCCCAGCCTCCGGGACCAGCCAAGGCTGAGACCAGCAGTGCCTACTTCAAACTCCGAGTTCCTGGGTACATTGGCTGGGCTCAGGGGCAAACAGTCTTAACCAGGCAAGTCTGGTTTCTCCTGGCTCCCCCTACACGGGACCTGGAAGTTCCTTGGAAAAGACAGGGATGAGGACACCGCAAAGTAGCAGTGGTTGTGGGTTGTTTTTTTTTTTGTTTGTTTGTTTGTTTGTTTTTAATATATCTTGTTTTTTAAATCCTCACCTGAGGACATGTTTATTGATTTTAGAGAGAGAGGAAGGGAGGAAGAGAGAAAAAGAGGGAGAGAGAGAGGGGGAGAGAAAGAGAAAAACATCTATGTCAGAAAGAGACACCTATCGGTTGCCTCTCAAACACACCCCAACCAGGGATTGAACCTACAACCCAGGCATGTGCCCTGACCAGGGATGGAACCCACAACCTTTTGATGTATGGGATGACACTCCATCCAACTGAGCCACCTGCAGCAGCTGAGGACTGAGGGCAGCAGCGGTTGTGTTTTTGATCTTGATGTGTATGCTTCTCATTTTTCTTGTCTCCCACTCCTTGAAGTTTGTTCAGGTTTTAGGAACTCATTCCCTGCCTTCAAACTTAGCCTTCACTGTTCATTCTTTCTCATCAAATGCCTTCCCGTTCCTTCCCTCCATTAAACTTCGAATCCTTCTCAATGCTATTAGTATCCTACAACAACATTAGTATCCTACCCAGAACATGACAAATACTATATTTAGAAGTGTTTCAATGGCAAAATAAACAAATAAGCCATTATTATAGGTACAAAAATATTTTGTTTTCTTCAGAATTTGAAATTCTACTTACTGTATCCACTATACACACACAACATGGCCTTATCCGCCTTGTAGTCTCCATGCTATGGCCTCCAAATGCACTACCCCTGTTCACTTATTTTGTAACTAATACCACATGACTGTTATTTAAGGATAACATTGACTAACCTCTTAAGAAAACACCTTTCAAAAGAAAGGAATGCAAAACACCCTTTGGAAATCCAAAGCTATTTCAGGTTTTCTAATCGACCGAAAACGTCGCGTATTTCCTTTCGCAATAAGATGCTGCCTCTCAAGTTAAGCAAAACTTAACTTTTTGCTCAGAGATCAGTGACTATGTTAGCTGAATGCATATGGCCCCTACAAACATAAAAGCAAATTTCTGGCCGATTGTGAAGAACACAGCCTTTTTTTCTTTTACCTTTCCATGCTAATAGGACCACCCAACAAAAGATTATAGAAATCACCTGCAGCTAGTTCATCTGCAAATCCTGGCACCTAGCTGGATGGCAGGTGTACAGTAGGTGCTCAGTAGACATTTGAGGGACTAGAATGTGCACTTCTGTCTGTGTATTTACAAATCAACATTATGTACATGTGAGCCTTCAGGGACGTCCGATCTTTTGGCGTCTCTGGGCCACACTGGAAGAAGAGTTGTCTTGGGCCACATGTTAAATACACTGTGACATGTCATCACAAACAAAATCTCATCGTGTTTTAAGTAAATGTACGATTTTGTGTTGGGCAGCATTCACGGCCATCTAGGGCCGCGTGCTGACCGCGGGCTACGGGTTGGACACTGCTGCTACACGAGTTCATATAAACTTGTATAAATTGCCACAAGACAATCTTCTCAAACTATAGGATGTATTCAAATTACCTAGGGATGTTTTTAAAATGCAAATTCTGATTCAGGAGGTCAGGGTGACACCCAATATTTGCATTTCTAGTAAGTTCTCAGGTGGTCCACAGGCCACAGTTTAATAACAAGGTAATCCCTTTTTACTCCCTGCAAAACGCCATAGGCAAAGCATACAAACAATTAGAGGGCCATCCTTCTCAAAGACTGTGTTCAGTCATCAGGAAAATCTTGATACCGTTCTCAGGGAAACTCATTACCAGATTCAAGTTTTCACTAAGGATTTATTTACTGAGCACCTATGCCAGGTGCAGGAGCTACAGCAGCCTCTTAGTCATTCCTGCCTACAGCTTAACAAACGATGAAAATGCAACTCGAGGTTTCTCTGTGTTCTCAGTGAAATAAATAATTCAAATAAAGAAAACAGTAGAGACGGGCACTGAAATGTGTAGGGATGACTGTATGGGGAAGTGGGTGAGTAAGCTCCTGCTTAGGATGCCATCGACGTTCACTTCGCCTCACTTGCCATCCCCAAAGACCGCCCCCCCGCCGCCCCTGTCCCCAGTCTGCCCTTCCTCTGTCTTCACCATCCCGGAAGTGACCGGCCTCTGGGGTCAACTTCAACTTTGTGGATGACAGACCTTCCCCATCTCTTTCAGTGTGAAATGTTGGACAAATTGGATGAAAAAGCAAGACCACAGATCCAACTGGTTCATACCATTTAAAAATCAGGGAAAAAATCAATCAGAGAATTCCCTTCCCTTTCCAAGGCCACATCACCCCAAAGCTTAAAAGGAAAGTTCACCTCGGGCCTCTGCCATGCAAAGGTGTCTGCTGGAGACACAGCAGGAACGGGGCGAATATAAGCACTCAGAAGTAGAAGAAGTTCCTCCTTCACTAACGTGTGGTGGGGTACTTGCTTTAGCTCCGTGATTATCATACAAAATTGCAAAGGCACATAAAAACTCAAAGATAATTTGAAAATCACAGAAAGCCATTACATCCTTAATAATTCATTTGTTCATAAACGGGCAAATTGTTGTTTACGTTATTAAAATATTCTTTTGCCAGAGGCATGAACTTAATCACATCCACAATCCAGCATAAATCTGTTTTGGTCGTACACTGTGGCATGCGTAACCGACGCACACCACAGCAGGCCCGAGGGGGCGCGGGCCCAAGCAAAGAGCCTGAGGGAGCTTTCCAGAAGGTCAATTTTAATTAAGATTTGAAAGAAGGGGAATAAGGAAAATTTTTACTAATATAACCGATAATAAATTTAAATAATTATTTTACACTAAAACAAGCATGGAATAGGATGCCCAAACTGCACTAACTTTAACAATAAAACACTTGGCTGAAAAGGAAGTTCCTGTTTTGGGGAGCTAGCCCTTCTGTACTTCAGGGGAATTTCTGCCAGTGTACGAATCTAAGAATCAGTCATATCTTTTGTTAAAATATATTTGAACAATTTGCTATTTATCAGTGCAAGGACATATTTCTCACATAAGCTCTTGGGGAAATGAGGTTGACTTATATTTAGAATGTTTTCCTCCTAAGTGAACCCTTTTGAGAACTAAATGTTCAACGCTGAATGTCTTGCATTTGAATAAATAATAACAATGCAAGAACTATTTACTTTGCAAATGTAGTCACTGAACAAAATTTTACATTGTCTAAGGAGGTACTTTACCAAAAACCCCCCCCAAAAAAGTTAGAAAACAGAGGGAGGTTGCTGTAATCAGAGAGCCTCTTGCTGTAATCCTTCCATTAACTAGGCATATATAGTCAATTTCAGAACAAATTCCTTATTTTACATACTGAGAGCTTTAGAAAATCTAAAATGATTTACTATACTACTTTCCATTATAATGATAATCCCAACCTTCAGGCACTCCCACTCAACATGAAAATACAGACCAGGCAACCTCAGAAGGAAGGGGAGTTGGGGTCAATGCCTGGTTTTTTAAGACAGAAATCCAGATACTTACAAGGCATCACATGGTATATGCTTGGCCAATACTGTCCGCTGTCCCTCTTTAGCCATACGCGAACCGTCCTGCAACAGAAGAAATTATGTTTTAAATCAAGGAGTTTTAAAAGTTTTAAAAAATATATTTCATTTATTTTTAGAGAGAGGGGAAGGGAGGGAGAAAGAGAAGGAGAGAACATCGATGCGTGAGAGATATACTGATCAGTTGCCTCTCACATGCCCCCAGCTGGGGACCTGGCCTGCAACCCAGGCATGTGCCCTGACTGGGAATCGAACTGGAGACTTTTCAGTTCACAAGCCAGCACTCAATCCACTGAGCTACATCAGCCAGGACTAAATCAAGTATTTTTAGTCATAGGAAAATTATGATAGACAGAAACCAAACTTCTTAATTATATACACATATACGTGTCTATATGTAACTTATCTTAATTATATATAATATGTATCTTAACTATATATGTAAAATATACATATACACATATATGTATGTATACCACATATGTCTCCTAAGAATCCTAAAGTTTGTATACATTAAGAATTATATATGATTCTTAAATACAATCCTCCTATATGTCTACATACACATATGTAATAGTGACAATGTTTGAAAATTATGAGTCTTTTTGCTGTTGTTTCGCCTCTCCGTATATGTGATTTTCTTCCCCTAGTCTGCTGGAGGCATTCACTGGCTTTCGGAGCTGTTATGTTTCACTGCTGAAAGAAGCGTGGAGGTAAAGTGAAGCAACACGCAGCATCTGACACTCAGAGGAGCACTGCATAGTAAATCCACAGTTGTACAGGCCAGGCCACGCCACTACCTCAAGGGACAGTTTTCCAAGCAGGGGTCAGGCAATCATAAGCTCTGAGAACCCCGTTTCTTGAGTGAAGGGCCAGCCATGGGCCCGCCGTGCAACAGTGTAATCCTGCAGCAAAGGCCAGGAGAGACATTCCAGACCAGCGGCCAGGCAGAGAACTCAGGGAGGAGGAGCCTAAGGACGTGGTCAGGGACGGGGCCATTGGCTCTGCCTAGTCATGTAGGCCCCGCCGTGAGCGCCACCAGCCGCGACATCATCTGCACAGGCCAGCCAGGCCAACACGACTGGGAGCTGACAGGACCCCGCCCCACAGACCAGAGGAAGTAGCAGATGTCCAGTAAGGGAGCCGAGCAGCGCCCCACTGCCAGGGGGCCACATCTGCCACACCCTCAAAAAAACACCCGAGGATGAAAAGCAGACAAGAGACAGGGCTTTCCGTCTCTGAGAGCCGGGCACCACGTGAACAGCTACTTCAGTCGTTGCACTAAGCAAGGTTTTAAATAGTACAGGGTTTCCTTCCCACCTAACCAGTAGGTCACCCGTAAGAGGTATTAGTTAAAAGACTAGACTAGTTACACACAAAACAAATGCCAGCTTCTCTGCAGAGCCACAAGACACAGTGACTATACAGTAACACTACATATACAGGCAAAATTCTGTCTTTTTGGTCAACTATCCTAATTTGTGAAGTAGGCAGGCATAATGGAAAATAATTTGTAAGAATAATTCAATACATATATTATCATACACATGTCAGCCCTCACTGAAATTCTTTCTACAATATATGCTAGTACATTTTAATATGGAGATTATTACCTCAACAAGAATAAACACAGGAGTGACATCATGAAAAATGGCAGAGCAGGAAGCTCCAGGAATCAGTCCCTGCACCAGATCAACTACGGAGCTGGCAAGAATGGTCAGAATCACTATTTCGGAGCTCTGATGTCTGCTTAGATGCTCGGCGCACACAGGGAACGCTTGATGAAGAAAGAGGCTGGTGTATGTCGGTGCATTTCATGCTTTGCGAGCACCTACCGTCATGCACACTCCATCCCCGAGGCAGGGAGTGGTGGGGACAGTGGCCCGTGTTCACGGAGCGGCCTGCTGGCAACAAGGTGGGAGCCCTGCCCTCCAAAGTGTGGGGACACACGTATTGATTTGCCTGGCAGTTCACTGAAAGACTAGAAAAGAGACTGGCCATTGTTTCAGCCCCCAAGGACTGAAGGGCTCCAGGCAATGTCTGCCAAAAGAATTTAAGGAGACAGAAGACCTTTTTTCCTTTATGAAATCTGGGCATTAAAAGAAATCACTGGTTGACCTCAGAGATGACAGAACAGAGAATTCAATGATAACATATAACAAGAAATACAGTCTTTGCCAATAGAGTTGAAAAAATGTTAAACAGACAACTGAAGCATGCTCTGCAGAGGAAAGAAATTGTGATTTTCAGAGTTCATGCATTACAGTATTTAAAATACCCAGTTCTCAATAACAATAACAAAAAAAAATCACACAGTATATGAACAACAGAAAATAGCCCATTCACAGAAAAAGATAAGAAAGTGACAGAGATCTTCAATATGGAAGTCCAAACACTGATTGGCCTTACTAGACAAAAACTTTAAATTAACTGTCTACACATGTTCAAAGAGTTGAAAGGAACCACAAGAACTAAAGAAAATCAGGACAAGGGTTTATAAATAAGTAGGGAATATGAATAGAGAGATAAAAATTTTAGAAGGGAATCAAATGGAAATTCTGGAGCTGGAAAGTACAATAGATGAAATAAAAAATTCACTAGAGAGCAGATCTGAGAAGACAGAAAAACCACAAACTTCAAGAGAGGACAACTGAAATGACCTAGTTGGAAGAGATAAAAGAAAAAAAGAATGAAGAAAAATGAATAGAACCCAGGAACCTACGGGACACCATTAAGTATACTCATATATCTATTTGTATATAATATGAGAAGCAGAAGAGAAGGGGACAGAAAAGTATTTGAAGAAAAATGGCTGAAAACTTCTGAAATTTGAAGATATGAATCTACACAGCCAAGGACCTCAATGAACCCCAAGAAAGAGGGACCCAAAGAGATCCACCAGAGACACGTAGTAATCTAACTGTAAGAAGCCGAAGAGAAAGTCTTGAAGGCAATAAGGTTTCTCATCAGAGCCTTGGAGACCAGGAAGCTGCGGGATGGTGACAATGTGCTATTACACAAAAAGTCAACCAAGAATTCTACATCTGGCTGAAAACTCTTCCTCTAGGGTAAAGAAGAGATTAAGACATTTCCAGATAAACAAAAGCTAATGATGTTTGCTGCTGGTAGATCTTTCCTACAAGAAATGACAGAAAGAATTGTTCCGGCTGAAATAAGGACAATAGACAGTACCTAAAGTCATACAAAGAAACTGAGATCATTGGTAAAGGCAAATACATAGGTAAACATAAAAGCTAACATTGCCTATTGTTGGCAACTTCCTTTTGTTCCTTACGCGAATTAAAAGACAAATGCATAAATCAAGAGTGTTACGTTAATGGACACAAAATGTGTAATTTGCGACAATAACAACAAAAGAGAAGGGGAAAAGGGCTGAATAGGAGCAGAGTTAATGCATGCTATTGAAAGGAAGTTGGTGTGAACTTAAACTAGGTTGCTATAAATTTAGGATGTTAAAAATCCCCTTGGTAACCACTAAAAAATATACAGCAGAGAAAAGGAAGGAATCAAAAGGGTATACAACGAAAAATTCCATCAAACATAAAAGGAGGATACAGTGGGGAGACTGAGAAACAAAAAGCTGTGACAGGTGCCTATGTGCAGAAGAGGGACCCTCGTGCAGAGCGGGGGGGAAGGCAGACAGGTGCAGCCGCCGCAGAGAGCAGCACCGAACTGCCTTACGGCCCAGCGATTCCACTTCTGGGAATGTACCCAAAGGAACCCAAAACACTAATTTGACAGAATATATACACCCCTCTGTTCACTGCAACCCTGTGTTCATCTTATTTCAATTCTCAAGATTTGGAAGTAGCCTAAGCGCCCATCAGGAGAGAAGTGGATAAAAAAAATCTGTGGTCCACTTACACAATGGAATACTACTCAGCTGTAAAACAGAAGGAAATCTGACCCTTTGCAACAGCACAGAAAAAAAGCCTGCTGAGTGAAATAAGCCAGTCAGAGAAATACAAGAACCACGTGATTTCACTTATATGTGGAATCTAATGAACAAAATAAACTAACAAATTAAATAGAAACAGACACAGATGCAGAGAGCAGACTGACAGCTGTCAGAGGGAAGGGAGGTAATATGGAGATTACCTCCCTTCCCTTGTGGGGGCTGGGTGAAAGGGGGACGGGGCTGAGCAAAGAAAACGACCTCACAGACACAGACAGCAGCGTGGCGATGCCCAGAGGGAAAGGGGGTGGGGGGCGGGAGACTTGGGTAAGGGGGGTAAATAATGATGAGAGGAGATCTGACTTTGGGTGGTAACCGTATAATACAATATACGGATGATGTATTACACAACTGTATACCTGAAACTTACATAATTTTATTAACCCATGTCACCCCCCAAAATTCAATAGAAATTAAAGAAAAAAAGAAAACAATTCAAGAAAAAAGGGCCAAAGGCAAACCCCTGAATAACACCACCAGTTCAAGGGTGTAGAACAAAAAAGCTCCGCGAGGACCTCAGCGTGGGCCACCAAGGAGGCGGAGGGTAAATCCTTGATGTCGCAGGCATTGCATGTGTCCTAATTTTTGGTCTAGAAAATAAGGTCACTACAAACATACCTAAGAACTGAACTACATTCACTGTAAGAACATACCTACAATTAAAACAAACAAAAAAAAGGCCTATCTATATAGGTCATTCTTCTGAGAGAAGAAATTGAGGTGGTGACAAGCAGTAAGTATACCACAGGTTGCTAAGCTACTGAATAAATAAAATAAGATGGGGCATCTACCCATGTTGAAATCCGGGCTTTCAAAAATGTGCCTTAGAATGATGTAACCTTCATTAGTTACCATAGCGATGAGCTTCATTTCCCACGGGACCATTGTTATTTTTGCCACCACTGAAGTAACTGGTGCGGGGGGCATGCGGTGGGCAGGGGGGCTACACAGTAAATCCGATTGTGTTTTGAAGACCCTGAATTTTCAGGAAATACTTTTTTAATAGACCACATATTTCAACCTCAATGCAAGCAGAGGACAGCCTCCAATGATCTGCAAACTAGTAGGA